CTGTAACTGGCAGCCGAACTTAATGCGCCACCAGACTGATATCGTTACTCCTATGTAAAAGCTAACCTGAAAACCTTTTTGCGTCTATAATACATCGGGGTTTCTAATCCTGTTTGAACGCCTCAAGCCTGCTAGCATGTTTTTCTCAAGGAAGCTTATAGGACGTCCATTACATTCGCAGTTTACTGTACTTGTTTGCCAGTATATACTGTTTAGCCATGTGTGTCCTAGAAGTAACATTTTTTTTTGCGAAGGGTGTACTTTTGTGTTTGCGTTTCAGCCAGAGAAGTTACGCTTTCCTTTAAACTAGTTTTCAGAATGAGGAACAGATGGCGATGGCCATACCGATGGTGATGGCAGGGGAAACCATGGAATTGTCAACGTCTTACTTTGTCGTTAGCCTATTGGCCTTTTCTCAAAAGCCGCTGTTATGCAGTAGAACGTCTTTTTAGTACAGCATGGGTGGTTAGTCGGTGTACCGCTGCGAAGCAGAAAGAAAGAAGGTTTTCTCATACAATTGAAGAGAAAAACGCCTCAAATGGTGTCTCCCGTAACAGGCCAAAAAGCCTATGACAGTGGAAAGGGATGACAGTGGCGTCAAAATGCCGACTTGCCGGCATCAGCGACAGCGCTAGAGGAAACGCAACGGAAAAACAACACTTTATTTCCTCTCTGGTAGTGGTTGCACTCAAAAGACTGCTTTCCTCTGCAGGCTTCCGTGAAACCGTTACTTGCTCGGTTAAGGACAAAAACAGAGAACTATCCGATCGTCTTTGAAATCAGCTCAGAACACACAGAAAGAAGAACGCAAAGATTGGCGCTCACTTTCCTACAGTTAGTTATCGTTAGTAGTGAAGGTGACATTCTTCACAACTGGACTTACCCGCTCAAACGATAATAGCTTAGCCGTTGTAAAGTACTGGACGCTGGGCAAATCTGCGCAGACATCGTTGCTACCACCAGCCAAACTGCATTCGCCTGCGAAGCATTCTTGATTTAGGGGTAATACTTGAGATATATCAGCAAAATGGCTTTTGCAGATACGAACCTCTACTGCTGAAAAACTGCAATAGTACGAAGCGGAAGTCAGAAAAAAGGTTGCAGCTGAAAATTTTGAGGGAACTTTCCGATTTTTATTGTCTTTGGTTCTTTATATCAGTACAAGTTGTTCAGCGACGTACTATTGCTACAGTTTTGTTGTAGAACCTAACTGCTGGCGGATAAACATGCCGACACGGAGTTTTTTTCATTAAATGTTTCGCTAAGGACACAGAAGTGGATTGGAAAGGTTAATATAGACTCCGCAACCGGACATAGCATCTGTTGACTAATATTTGTCACAAGGCTCTCAAAGCGCTCGACGTTTGAAAATTTCGTGCTTATTGGACAGCTGGTGTATGTTGTAGCAAGTTTTGCCACGTTTATTTTCTGTAAATAATTTTTACGCTGAGAATCGTAGGTTGAACAAATAACGCTTCGCCCTTGAGCATGCTGACCAATGATTTTTGTCGTACCTGCGAAACTTAACTTAGGTATTCATATTCGGTCGTGATGCGAGAGCCTCCTTCTCTCTTGTGGGTTGCGACGTCTATCACTGACTCTGATTTACAGGGCCGACCATAAGCCAGCTATACAAACATGACTAGTAGTACAATGTAGGCCTAAAATACCCATGGCATATATTGGTCTTTTGTTAATACATCTTCTCCTTATTGGCTAGTATTTACATTGCTCCTAGCTGCTCGCTAAGGTTGGCTCTCCGTTGCCTTTCAACATGCTTGCAGTCTGCCAAGGACGTCCTTACAATTTTCCTGCAGTCTGTGTATCTGCTAGGCAGACGTTGTCCTTGTTTGAAAGAGGCAGCAATTATGCTTTACATTTCTGTAGTGACAGTGGCATACTGTCTCGCACCTCTACAGCAAAAGCAGTGGAAACGTTAGGAGACAAAAGGCTGACAACGAGCGAGCTTGATCCATTCACTCTGTGCTCCTTCCGGGAACACGAATTTATGGATAGGGCAGTACAAAAGCCTTCAGCAGACAGCTCTCATCGAATCGCGGAGAATGGCGCTTCCGCTGTATCCGGTATTAATTGTTCCTTCCGCCGAATCTCGTCCATCCCTATCACTGGGACCGAGCCGCCAGCGTCAGTGGCCCGCGTCCCTGCCAGGGCGAACATACTCTAATAGTGCACAGATAGGAAGACGACGAGAGTGACGTCGACAATAATATACAGTAAGTGCAATAGAAGAGTCGCTGTACTATGTAATATATAAGCGACTTCATTTCAATCTATTCTGTGTTCTATGCACCTTTGCGCAGAGCGTGTGGGTCCTTTGTCCGCCAGTGCAGGTACTGTTAGCTAGATCGTGTTCCTTGCGTGAAGGTAGTGCAAATCTACGTTCTCATTCATACACCTCAGGGAAACCGATGACTCTGCCACTAGATGACTGAGACGATCAGACAACCGGAAAACAGAAGGAAATAAAATGGGAAAGGGTTCCATCGGAAACTGGTGCCTGGTTCGGACGACTGAGTAGCCACTAATAATTGCCCTAATGACATTGTATTTTTCTTGGTTACTAAGTAGAACGAAGAAAGAGAGCAGCACTGACTTACTCTTGATGGACTGGGGCAGATCTTGAATTAACAACTACTCGGTAAACCAACGTCTAATTGCATCGTGTCCAAAAACAATCTAACCTTTATACCTGTTGTAGAAATTTAAATGAATATAATAAATAAAGATTCCCCTAAATAGAAGTTTTACAGAATCCTTTTTATCAGCTATCAATGTGGCATGTTTTTTTGTCTCCAACGATGACGAGCGGTTTGCTACGGATACACGGATTAAATTTACACCTAGTGTATATTTTGTTATTTAGAAGCATAAGGAAGCTCTGTTCAGCCCACTATTAAAAATGAAACAAATCGTTCGAAGGGAAGACCTTTTGTCTTTATCTTTATCCTGCATTGTCTCTCTTCTTCTATGTCCAATAAAGGAACGTTTAGCTTCCGATACTAATTCAGGGATTCGCCCTCCTTCTCGACTGGAAGAATCCTCGCAAGTTCACCCCATTCCTACCTTTCTGCCATTCCCCGCCCATCATCAAGGTGAAGGACCCACTTTAAACACTCACGCTGCTCACTGCTAACGCCCACCTGAAGTGCAATAACAGCGCATACAGATGTACAGGTCGCAACAACAACCAGGTTGTAGTGCCTTCAGGCGCTAACAGAAAAGTTGCGTGCAAATGCCTGCTTGCGTTTGGAACTAGGCGCCAATCGCGTGCCTACAAGCTTTAGGAGGACCTGGTGGCCAAAACTTTTCGACGCAGCCACTGCCGGTACCATCTTATGTTAAGCGTGAAGTGGTGTGGAAACGTAGCTTCTCTTGTAGAAATAATAGCAGCAGTAGCGGCCCTGGAGTGCATTACATGAAATGCCTATCTCGAGTCCGTAATTCTTCGTTAGCAGGCCACTCTTAGCTGTTCGAACCAAACGCTAGTTGTCGGCTATGTCCCAGTGTTCTCTTGCATGGTGATGTTTGGTCGTCTACTTCGTGCCAATCTGAGACCGTACTATATATAT